AAAACCCAAAGAAAACTGGAAAAAATTCTCTACTGGAATACTCTTTGAGGCTCTGATAATAATTTTTTTTTCAAAAATAAATGTGTTTTATGACAGAATACGTGACACATTGGTGTAGTTCACCAATAGTGTAGTTTTATTTATCGATTTATCGATGAATGAATAGATAAACGCGCGCACCGCCGGATGCAAATTGACGACTTCCCCTTGAATAATTTTTTTGTTTGTTCTGTTTGCAAGCCATATAATAACAACTTTTGAAATAACGTTGACTGTTCGACCGTTACCAGAAAATCTCAAACCACGGCCTTGCCTCATTGACCTCGCTATTGCTCGGTCAATACGGCAAGGCCCTAGTTTGAGAGTTAGCCGTAACGACCTCACTCTCGGTTATTAAAAAATTAATAATCATATGAGAGTTGTGTATCTGTGAAAATATAATTCAATTAGTAAGCATGTAATAATGAAGGCAGTCTTTGTCTTAAACATTACTTGATGTTTTGTTTTGTGGTTATAGTCAACTTTCACTAAGCTATCAGGAACTATTTACTCATGTAGCTCGAAATGATATCGTTAATAGTGTCTTCAGCTATCTTAGCTGTGCAGTTATAGTTCTTTAAAGTTCCAGTATATCCCATGACCAGTATAAAGAGGGTCAAATGATGTCTCAAAAGTAAACATTAGATGCTATTTTTCTCGTTTGGTTCTTCTTCAAGTATTGTTAGGAGTAGGGCTTAATCTTAATTGCTTTCTTACATCTGTTCCTAGGAGTTCAGGAAAAAACGCAGTCCACTCGATCGCTGAATATTTCGCTACCCGCCAGAAACTACCCGGAGTTTAACGCTTTCTTAAATCAAATTGCTGACGAAATAACAAAAGAAGAGTTGGAGCAAATGAAATTTCTCTGTCTCCGACAAAACAACGATAATTACTTGCCACGAGGAGAGCTCCAAGCCATCAAGAGCCAACGCGAGTTTTTGAGCTTCTTGCGCCAACACGATAGAATCTGCCCAGAAGACGTGTCCTATTTGGTATGGCTTCTGAGAAACGTCGATTGCATTAGGCTAGCCGAATTGATTGAGAATCAAGGTAAGATTGTGGCCTTGACTCGCACGTAGATGGATTTGATAAGATCGGTTTTGGATGTGTTCTTCCTTTATGAATAATACGATTTTACAGACCTTAGATTTCTCTTTGCGTTCAGAAGTCAATACATTCCCGCCAAGTCTTCGATTAAATTAGATCAAAGTTCATCTAGCTGTGGGCGCTTTAAAGAAAATTTTAAGTTATAATGATAAATGCGCCAAAATTGAACACATCGAAAGGCAGTATATTTCACGGTCGAGGAGTTTGCTCAATCAAGACCAATGCAAATTAATTACATGTTGTTGGTGTCACGAAACTAAGACCCTCGAAAACTAAGATCTAAGACCTAAGACTCGTCTTAGTTTTCGAGATTACGAAAACTGAGACCCCCCCAAAATCGAATCCGTCCAAATATAAAGTCAAATTGTAACTAGAATAGATCTAATCTGTCAAATTATCTCCTGTCCGATCCTTTCCACCGAGTTTAAGGTCAAATTAACGGTAAATTTAGGGGTCTTAGTTTTCGTAATTTCGAAAACAAAGGCCCCTCGTCATTACGAAACGAAGACCCCCATCAAACCAATCTGTAAAATTTCTACAAAGTCGAGTTACGCCCGTTCAAAGACTATAATCTGTAAATCAACTAAAAACTACTATCGTACGCGTGCTAGACGATCCGCTTCTTCGAACAATTTGGAGCCATATCAGCATTGTGGCTTTAATTATAAAGAGGACGAAAGCCACAGACTACCTACTATAATTGTACACTGAAAATATGCCTTACCCTTATTAGTCTATAATTTTGGTTGTTTATCCTTAAAGTCATAAAATTGTTTTTCCACTGGAGATGGAATTTTGTCTTCTTTGCGGGGAC